TTCACACCTAGAAAATTCAATCCCTGTTCTAGCAGATCCTCTTAGATATCTCATTAGCCATTTCACAGCCTCCCAATGAGGCATGCCAGGATTAGCCATATATCTACTCAAACAGCTAACAGCATATGCAATGTCAGGCCTAGTACTTACCATTAAATACATTATAGAACCAATTGCATTTGCATAAGGAACAGATTTCATATCACAGATTTCAGGTTCAGTCTTTGGGGACTGTTCCTTACTTAGCAAGAAATGAGCAGCTAGAGGCACAGACACAGACTTGGCATTTTTCATGGCAAATTTATCTAAGATCTTTTCAACATAGGCAGATTGGTTCAGAAACAAAGAACAATCTTTCCTATTCCTGATTATGTCCATTCCCAGAATTCTCTTAGAGTCACCAAGAAATTTCATGTCAAAGTTTTCACTTAAGCATTTATTAACATGATCAATAGCCTTTAAACAGGGACTAGCAATAAGCATATCATCAACATAGATCAATAGGAACACAGGAGATTGACAGTCATCTTTGAAATACAAGCAAGGATCAAATTCACTTCTTTTAAATTTCAAAGAGAGCATGCAAGAGTCAAATTTTTTGTTCCACTGCCTAGGAGACTGTTTAAGGCCATACAGAGACTTCTTCAACAAACAGACATAATCAGGTTTATCAGAATCAACAAAACCTTCGGGTTGAGACATGAAAATTTGCTTATCAAGATCACCATGCAAAAAAGCAGTTTTAACATCCATTTGCTTAAGTTCCCAATCAAAATGAGCAACTAAGGCAAGCAAGATTCTGACAGTGGTGAATTTAACAACAGGAGCAAAGATTTCAGTATAGTCTATACCCTCTCTTTGTGTAAAACCTTTAGCTACAAGCCTAGCTTTATATCTAACAGAATCAGATTCATGCTTAACTCTAAACAGCCATTTGCATTCAATCAAAGAGCACTTAGCAGGTTTTGGGACAAGAGTCCAAGTATGATTGACATGCAGAGAGTTAATTTCCTCTTTCATAGCAGATAACCACATAGCAGAATCTGGAGAATTTAAAACATCTTTGTAGCACTTAGGTTCATTCCCATCTAAAGCTTCAAACACGTTGAACACAAAAGATGCAAGCTGAAAATTATCAAGATGATGAGGTTTCCTAATTTCTCTTCTAGGTCTATCCCTAGCAAGTTGATAATCATGCAAATCATCAATTTCAGGCAAATCAGACTCAACATTTTGATCAAACACATTTTCAGGCACAGAAGATGAATCATCATCATCAACAATATCAATTTCCTCACTCTCAAGAGGAGATTTCTCCACCTCAATTGGAGCAGAGGGGGGAACAATAAATGAAGGCACAGGCAAACAAGGATATTCATTTTCATTGAAAACAACATTTCTACTAATGATAGTTTTAAAACCATGTTCATTCTTTAGCCAACATCTATAACCTTTTACCCCTTCAGGATATCCAATAAAAACACATTTTAAGGATCTAGGTTCTAATTTATCAGTTTTATGGTGCACAAAAGCAGAACATCCAAAAACTCTCAAATTAGACAAATCAGCTGGTTTCCCAGTCCACAAAGTTTCAGGCAAATTTCCAGACAAAGGCACAGATGGAGATCTGTTAATCACATAAGCAGCTGTTAAGACAGCTTCACCCCAAAAAACTTTTGGCAAACCAGATGCATGCAACATGGATCTAACCCTATCCATTAATGTTCTATTCATTCTTTCAGCTATGCCATTCTGTTGAGGTGTATATGCAACAGTCCTATGTCTTCTAATGCCAAATTCAGCACACAGAGAATCAAATTCATGATTGCAAAATTCAGTGCCATTATCAGTTCTAAGGGTTCTAAGTTTCTTGTTAGTTTGATTTTCAATAAAGGTTTTCCAGGATTTGAACTTATCAAAAACATCAGACTTTTGCACAAGTAAGAAAACAAACACTTTTCTTGAAAAATCATCAACAACAGACAAGAAATATCTGTTTCCACCAGGTGTGGAGACAGGTGCAGGACCCCAAACATCAGCATGAACATATTCAAGGATTTCAGTACACTTAGAAGTATTAGGGAAAGGAGATTTAGGGAATTTCACTTTAGACTGTTTACCCATAACACATGAATCACACAAAGGCATATCAACAACAATGTCATCACTCAGATACTTGTTTTTATGCAAGATTCCTAGTCCCTTACTGCTGATGTGACCTAATCTTCTATGCCAAAGATCAGTCATGTCATGCTGGACAGAATTAACATGTGAAACAGATAATGCAGATGCAACATACATATTGTGCATTCTAACAGCTTTGAAAGAAATTAAACCATCATGCATAATATTCATAACCCCATCACCCCAAGTACCCTTATACCCAGAATCCTCCAAGATAGCACAAGACATCAGATTGCTACTCAGCTTGGGAACATGTCTCACATTTTTCAGTTTAAGCACAAAACCAGATTGAAATTTCAGACATACAGTTCCTATACCTAGCACATGCCTTTTGCTGCTATCAGCCATGGACACAGAGCCATTTTCCAATTTAACATAGGAGGAGAACATGCTTCTGTGAGGTGTCATATGATTAGAGCAAGCAGAATCCATTAACCAGTCATTATCAGTCAAAGATGCAGACACAGAATTCACAAAATCAAGATACTCATCAGTAATCATAAACACATCACCCATGTTTTCAGCAACTTGGTTGGCCTGTTCATTATTAGACTTAACTTCTTTCTTAGGTTCAGCACACCTATTAGCATAATGACCAGACTTGCCACAGTTATAACACTTCCTATGTTTGAGCTTGTTCTTACTCCCTGCTTTACCCTTATCAAATTTTTGGAAATTTTGGTTACTGGAGGTAGAACCCTTGTTTGAAAACTTGTATTTAATGCTTGTTTTTCACAAAGTTTACATCACCCAAAGACTTGTTGCCTTTGGTAGTT